TTTTTGCAACGAATTCTTGGTTTTTATCGAGCAAAAACAGCTGCGGTCGAGTCTAGACTTACTCGAAGAGATGACAAATCTGTATTCGAGCATTTGTAAAATAGGATGTAGGAGGGCTTACAACAATTTCTAGAACTTCATGAAAGCATCTACAAAGTCGATTGAATTTAGCATAAAATTGTGCGATAAAAAAGTTGGAAAAGTAAAAGCAGCAATTAAACGAGGAGTGGTAGGATTTGATTGATATATAGAGAGTTGTTGAGCAGAGTTTTGCATGGAAGACTAAATTTAACATGCACATAGTTTTGGCATACTTTTTGGAATTTTTTAACCCTTTTATTAGATTCTAAAAGAAAAAAATTTTAATAAGTTACAAAATGAAAACCTCGATTGCTTGATAAGATCCCGGAAAACTTGTGTGACTCGAATAGCCCCAAAAACATTTACTTCCCATACCGCTTTGTAATCATCGAGTGTCAGAAAATCATCGTAAAAATGGTTTCCACGCACGCCTGCATTGTTCACCACAGCATGCAAAACTGCAAACAGTAATTCAGATAATAAATGTTTCATACCAAAATGTTGACAAAATTTTTAGCAAAATTTTGCGCAAATGTCCCACACACTCTAGGCGTTCAGTCTCAGAATTCAAGATTTATTGGTGAACCGGAGAGTAACATTTGTGTCATTATGCTATACAATTCCAAATTTCATGCTTTGATTTTGACCCCATAATTCAAAAGAGCGCATCCTGGCTCGGTGAGTCCAAAGTGGTATTATGTTGGTGATACTACTGCTGCACTATGTTGAATAGCTGTGACATTGGGTTGTTTTGGGACTGCAGTTGTTGATGAATTTTTGTATTTGTATACCTGCGAGAAAGTAAACGACCAGTCGGGCAAAGCCTGACTATTGGAAAACATAAATCAAAAAGACACTGGGTATTAATTGGAGATATGCAACCTATCATCAAAGCATCTTGCATTGTAGCGCAGAGCGCATAAGAACATTCCAGTAACATCACTAACATGGGATACTCACACCGACCGTCTGAATGGTTTTAGCATTTCCATGCATATCAGAGTTTTTACATTGCAGCGCAATATTCTATTATATAGAACAGCAACGGAACACCAGGGAAATTCCAGGAGACTTTTCCATTCTACTCATCTCACTGGCACACTTTTTGATGTGTCTACGTGCATTACCCTAAAATTTCAGCCTCCTAGACTCCGTGATTCCCGAGATATTAATTTACCTGCAAAAAACTTTTACGGGGCCGTACGTGTTTCCCGCGGATACGGGGAAGCTGAATTCAAATTTGCGGGGTCACACGTGGATGGAGAACGTTCCCCTAAATTTTCGGCTTCGTAGCTTTTGTGGTTTCCGAGTTGAAAGTTGCGGACAAGTTGTTGCTGACACACACACACACACACGCACGCACGCACGCACGCACACACACACACACACAGACAATCCAGTGACAATATGCGTTTTGTACTGCTGTTACACAGCACAAAATGTATGAAAAAGTGCACACCCAAATCGCTTTCCTTGAGAACGCGCTGTACAAGATGTCGGGATTGCAGTACG